TTTTGATGTAAACAACAGAAATTCTACAACCAAATAGATTAAGCAAAGAGAAAATGTATTATCTGGTCAAAGGGTCTAGAAAGAGGATAAGAGCTGAGAGACTGGCGATTCAGAAGCTAAGGATGATGCAAGATGGTGGACATCTTTCCTTTGTTTCATCTTCAGACAAGTGACATTAACTGTAGACATCAAGTCCAGAGGAAATGGTAAAAGTATACTTCTTGTAGCTCTCACTTAGGAACAAGGGAAAACTTCCTCAGGCTCCTGTCAGACTTTCCACTTATATTTCATGGCCATGAATTTTTGGGTATTGAAACAATGTGGACCAAATAAGCCCAATCCTGAAGATGAATTGCTTTCTGGGACACCTAAATGCACCATCTCCTGCCTGGCAAGACCTGTCCAACCTTCCAGCTGACTCTCCCTTTTCACTCAAAGTTTACCCTCAACTTAAAACTCCATCATGGGATTCCAAGAGCTCAAGCCAGCATGGGATCCACATAGTAAAAGTCAAGAAAAGATCCAAGCCCTTCTCATTCAGCAGGTCCTGTGGAACCTTTCCAGAAAAGAGATGGTCTGTCTAGACCCCTGATGGCTGTTGCCCCACTGCCTGTCACAACTTTGTCAACACTTTTGACTCTGGTGAAAATGGACAACAAGGAGGTTTGTTTCTCTAAATCCCCACACTCTGCCTGTGAAAGAGAACCAAGCCTGTGATGCTAACCTACCTCATATGGAATCTTGGCTTTCAACTCTATATATCTCAATCCCGGCACTGGACACTGGCTTCTCCAGCTTTCAATCACCTGGCTTCACTCATTTATAACGCTACGATTCAGTGGATACTTCCCAGCAATTTTCTCCAGTCCTATTACCCTCAATGTCCACAAATAGTCAACGTGAGTTATGGGGCCCTTACATCAATGCCAAGCATCTATTTAACAAGGAGCACATAGCTGGGAGGAAGAGGCAGAGGGTGGGGAGCTCTGCTGCCATCACTCTGCTACCCTTTGCTGCCCTCCCCTGGCCATTGATACCAGTGCAAGTACCATTCCACTGCCCAACATCATCACTTAAAAGAGAACACTTGAAATTGACCTCCCTTTCCCCTTTGAGGGTAGGCCTGGAAGTCTTTGGCCTTCCTTTAGTCCATGTTTATGGTCTTCATAGCCACCTTCTTCCTCTAGAGCATTTTAAGACTCATTTTCTGAATAAAACAAATTTCTCTGAACAGGTGCCTGACACTCTGCCAGACTAAGGCACATGTTGATTTCATCCCTGTAGCTAAGTAGACAGTTTGTTTAATAACAGTTATGATGTTACCTTGTGCTGTGTTCTGTCTGATTCATACCTAGCAAGAGTTCTATATGACGAGGGTAGAACTTGGGACCCATATTTTGGGGTATACTATGAATGAATCACAGAGAAGCACAACCTGTGAGTATGGAAAGCACCCCAGGAATGCTGAATGCCTGAAAGGCTATAGAGCTGACAGGGGCAAGTGTCTCTGGCCAGCTCAGCTATTAAGTTAGTGGCTCACGTACACTCTTTTCAACTGTAGCATGTCTACTTAACCCTGAACTATTCATCTCTACTTGAAGCTTCTAATGTTGCAGACTGGATTGTTGCTGAATTCAAGGTCAATTGCCAGATAACCCAAAAGCCATAGTCAAGTGTGGTTACAGACACAATACCTACTCTATAAATCATGGAATTACCTAGTCTTTCTATAGCACCTGGAACATTGTTTTATACATGAAAACAATTCTTAAAATGCTAAAGAGGAAGGTGGTAGTTGTGATGAGCCTAAACACTGACTAGAGGAAAGTCAAAGATGTACAATTGTGCACTCAAAGTGAAAAGAATAACAAATTTCAAGGGCTGGATTCTTTAAGTGAAGATGCTAGGCATAAAATGGTGAGAATCTTTAAAATGATGAAGCAATATCAGCTTTCAGAGGCACAGCAGAAGAATTCATTCATTTCTATTTATATCCAGATTTCTGTGGTTGGTGTTGAATGAACACATAATGCTTTACATAACTATCTTAAACAATAACTAAGCCTTTGAAAAGAATTTTGGAATGATTGAACTCACTGGATCTGTGGAGGCAGTCATTCTTGTCAGTTCTGTCCAAGTATAGACAGAGAATCTAATTTGACCTATGGGTCACCAACAGGGTACAGACTTGGAATTGTCATGCTGCCACTGGTCTTCCTCAATGTAAGGGCTCCAGCACCACTGCTGAGTTGACTTAAGAATGCCCCACCTTTTGAATCTACTGTCCAGCTTGTAGGGCACAGTGTCAATAGTATCAACTAACTGATCTGAGAACTCTTCTGGCAAAAGAAAGAGCAAGAGGAAAGATGCCCTGTGGTAAGGAAGAGAGGACAGAGCAGTGCACAGTGACACTGGTGGGCAGAGATTCAGGAAAACTATGAGAATACATCACCTTTCCAAGGCTCTACTCTACTCCCTCTTTGACTGGCCCTACGGGGATGCCTGTACTAGTGGTGACCGACTTTCCCTTAAAGATCCTGCAGAGGCTGCAACATATTTTGCTTAAAACTACAGCTGGTTTGTAATTTTGGCCTCAGACAGTAATTACAGCTGCCAGGGCTCCTCGGAGAGATAATTACGGGAAGGATTCAGCACACTCATTTTATCTACACACTTAACCATCAATTAAATCATTACCATCTAATCCTATCCCACAGTCTAGAAATGTTCTATGAATATATAATTTTGAAGACATCGAAGTTTGTTTTCAGATGATTTTAAGTGAAAAATTGCTCAATTTCCATAGCCCACAGGCCTATGTGTTTGCTATCCCTGTGAAGGCAGAGGCAGTGTTTCTTAGCTTGTGGTCACTGCCTCCCTGGAGGCCTGTACCACATAAATGGCTGAACTGGGATGGACTGGCAGGCAAGAGCCATGACTTTGCCTTTGATCTTTACTGGAGTTCATGTTCTCCAAAGCAGGGTTCCTGTTGGTACTTAGAGGTCAGTAGCTAAGGGGCTGGTGAGAAGATGGTTCTGCAAAGAAATTTCCAGAAGGGCCTCCTCCTGCTTGGTTTCTGAAGGAGGCCTGGGTGACTCTCCACTGACTCACTCAGAAGTGAATCTTTTTAAGCAAGGGGGCTGATGATCTGTGAGGACGCAACTGCTTCCTTCCCTCCTTACCCTAGAGAGACAAGCTTTTAAATACATATTTTAATTGAAATGTAGTAATTGCATGTATTCATGAGTTATAATATATAACATTTTAATATATGTACTCAATGTGTAATGATCATATGAGGATAGTTGGCATATGTATCATTTCTTTGTGTTGAGACATATCAATTAAATGTTGTTAGCTGTAGTTTTTAGCTGTGCTATAGAATGCAAGAAGTTATCCCAGAGATAATTCTTCCCATAAGCTGGATGCTTGCACAGAACTGGCCCCTCAAACTCACTGGGATCTCAAAGATGCTTTCTCACAGTGGGGCCATAGAAGAGTTCTCTATTTGTCAATTAGCTCTTCAAGACTGCCACACCAATCCTCAGCTTATGTGTGGTCTCAGTCCATCCTGCCCATAGTACATGGCTCCCTTGCTGAAGTCACTGAAAAGCCTAGCTTTTTTAAGTTTGGAACTCGCCACAGGACTGTTTTTGTTTTGTTTTGTTTTGGTTTGGTTTTTTTTGGGGGGGGTTGGGGGGGTGTTGTTTTTGTTTGTTTGTTTTTTACTAGAATGAGCAACAACTCTGTGGGAGTCCCAATTAGGGAACAAACTCCAGGCACAGCATGGATGCCAACTGGACGCCAGGCTAGCCTGAAGATAATAAGACACTGGACCTTACAGCTGAGCTTAACTGAGCTGGGCACTGCAAAGAAAGTGAGAAGCCTCCAACCCCTGAATTCATGATCCCAGGAATGTCCAGTGACCGTGCTCAGAAATAATCATGACTATCATTGGGAGGAATATAAAAAGGGTATTGGTTTTAGCTGCCTTTAAGAATTATAAGAATTAAGTAAGTTAATATATGCAGAAGACTTTCAAGGGTACAGAGTATTTAGTGTATACTGCATGTATAATAGTTACAGTTAGTGTAGGTATCATGATCAAAGGAGCTGATGGAGTCCTGGTCAGAAACCCCAATTCTCCTCTATTGAGAGTTCCCAGGGGCCTCCCTTTTAGGCTAGCCTTCCTATATGGTGATTATCTACCCCAATAATATCATGACAACTTCCTGATCTCTTAGTGAAGCCCAGGGTAGTCCCTTAAGAATCAGATCCTGGCTCTTCCCTGAGTAATGAACAGCAAAGCCTTCCCTGACATCCCCATTGATTCATGGTGATTTCTTGGAGGGAAAGCAATTTGGGCAAGAGGTATAAGACTAGCTGGTACACTTGTGCCTCAGCTTCTCCTCCCTCCCACCCCTGGAAATATAGGTAGGCAGTTCTTGCTCTCTCTTCTGTCAATGAGCTCACCTTGGCCCAGGTGCTCCCAAGAACATTTGGAATGAAATGGTGCCAGGCAGTAGATATTAAGGACTCTCAGTCCTTTAGAGAAGTACTGAAGAAAACATGAGGCACCCCAGCACTGCCAAGTATTATCCACCCTGGGACTCAGGAGAATCCATCTTGGTGCCCTCCTGTGTTGATATGGAGTTTGGCAATACAGAAGCTTTCGGGTCTACAGAGCCTCGGACGCAGTCCAGTACTCTGTGACAGTGTGGGTTCAGGTCTGACCAGTCTTGACCTTGATCTGAATCCCTCTCTGCAGCACATGGCTGCTGCTGGTTCCCTCTTGCCACAGGGGATGACAGATCATGACTCACCCCAACACCTTACCCTAATTCTGTTGTTCTCTCTGCCTCTCCTCAGCTTTTTTTTTTTTTTAAGCTTTTAATGAAAGTTCCTTAGAATGTACACAGAACTTTCCACAACCAGGTTAATTCCTGTCTGGAGTCCATATCACTACTTCTTGGCATAATACTTACATATGTGCTACTTACTTTCAGGACCCTTGTGGTTCCTTTCCTTCCCAGTGATCTGTTGGCCACCAGGCCGTGAGGGGCAGAAGCAGCAAGAAAGGCTTTGTCTGACCTGTGAGCATGACGGAAATAGCCTTCTGAGAGACTGCTTCAGTGTTACAGCCCAGCTTTATTCCAGAGTGAGGGAGATATGTTGTGCAGGGACAGCAGGTGGGACATCACCTAATTAGCATATGTGACAGCACAGTCCTATCATAATGCTCCTAGTACAATGTCTGGTTACCATATGGGCAGCAGGGGGAAGGCTTTTACAGAACACTCTGTCAAGGACCACACTTGAGATAAGTCAGGCATCTGGGCCTAGAGACATTCTCCAAATAAGGTTAGGTAGAAAGCAGGAAGCCCTCACTGCGGGGATCGAGTCCTCCATATTGCACCAAGCTCTAAGAAAGCTGTCTGGACATGGAAGACTGCAACCTGTGGCCATCAGGGCTTCCCAACGGACCCTGAAAATGTGGCACTCTGTGGAGTCACTTTGTCCTTGCACATGTACTTCCCTTTGTCTGGGCTGCCTCCAGCTGTATTCTAAATTGACTTCTTACAGTTCTACCTGGTATAGGGTGGACATGGTTTAAATGTATTTTTTAAAGGTTCTTGGGTCATTGGGTCAGGAAAGGACTTTGGGATTGCCAACCTCTTTGGCTTCTCACATGGAGAGATGACCTTCCCTTGCAACTGAACCCTGTCCTCCAGGCATGCAGATATGATCATAGCACTTCACATGAGCAGGCCAACTATCATTTCATCATGGAAATGGGTACATGAGGCTAATAAGACAAATGAGATCCCTACCCTCCCTACAGAATATATGTCTTTAACTATTACTGGGAGAAACAAGACTGCTACAGTGATGTGACTTAGCCAGCACTTGGTGTAAGTTGTCCACATTCCCACACATCACCCTAATTAAACTCATTGGTTTACCAAACTACACTTGGTTGGAATCATTTCTTTGATTTCCCTCTCTATCTAGAGTGAATAAGCATTTGTTCATGTCCTCTGAGGAAAGTCACACAACATTCACACACAGGCCATTGCCTGATGTGCATCTCAGAAACCCTCACCAAAGCTGATTTGATATCAACACCATGCTCTTGAGTCTCTAAATCTATGAACTAAATAAACCTCTTCATAAAAACCATCGTGCCCCGAGTATTTCATCATAGTAATGAGAACTGGGCTAATACAACACCCAGCCACAAGCTCTCCTAAGAAGACACACCTTTGCAATAACTGTTGTAATGCTATCTTCTAATTCTGTTTTCCTTGAATTAGATGTGAGCTCTCTAAAAACAGGGATTTCTTCTCATCCATATATGAATGATGAAACCTTTGGATAGATCCTAACAAATGGGCAAGTGGTCATTGTTGGCTGATTGAGAAAGAGGAAGAGCCTGGAGTCCCTTGGGCCTAACATGCCTTGTGCTTGATATAAGGTGTACAGATTACATTTGTAACTCACAGATTTACCAAATCAGTGACAAATTCTGTAGAATTTTAGAAGATTGTGTGTTTAAACTACATGCTAAATAGATGATGGGAAAAGCCCTTGCTGACAATATCCTACACTTTTCTCTCATAGCCTGAGATTGCCCCTCCCCCACCCCCTAAGGAGGAGCTTTAAAAGAAAAAGTCCTTTGAACCCACAAAGACAGAAACACTTCTAGACTCTGGAGTCCAGCCAGGCTTCAGTATCCTATGTACCATGACACTTTGAGAGTCTGTGAGTGTGAGCTGAGAAGGTGAGAGGTTCAGAGACAGCAGGGAAGGTGGGAGGTGGACAAAGCTTGACCTCTATAGCCATTCTTTCCAGTCTTGTCCCTATTCTGAGAGCAGCTTTTACACTGCAGGGGGCCTTACTGAGAGGAGGGGCCAGGCTTGAGGCTCCATTGCCTTTGATGGCCCCTGCTAGATGTGTGCACAGGCCTTGCAAGCAGATCTTGTCTCCTCAGTCAAGGATATTCATCCCTGCTGTGTCCTGCCACAATGTGGAAAAACAGAGCAATAGCATAGCCTTGTTCAATGAAACAGAAAGCATCCTCCATGAGGGTGTCAACTTCAGTACCATGCCATGCTTTACTTCCCGTCTCATGCTGTGATTATTCTGCTTCAACTCTCCTGAAAATGGCAGCCATACCCACTGTGTCTCTGACATTATGTCACACAGAGTTCTGTTTTCAGAATCACTGAAGTAGTTTGATAAACTAGTATAATCTGCTCTGTGGCAGAACACAGAGAATTCTTTCAAACTAATTCACCTTTCATAAGCCCTCAGACAGAATTCTTCAGTAGGCACATGGAATGTGAAGCCAGGTCTCTACAGCTTCCTCAGCCTGCTGGCCAAGATGCTCAAAGATAAAATACCACCTAGACCCTGTTTATTGGAGTGGCACATAGGCAGGGCTTGGGCTGGAAAGGAAACCCCAGAGCAAGAGGGGCTGTGGTCCTCGAGGAATGGTAACAGGGAGGAGAGGTAAAAGGTTAACTGGGGAGGGAGTTTGTACATCAAGATGGAGCAGAAAGGCTTTGAGGGAGACACATAGCCCCATCCAGAGATGGCAGGGGTGGTCAGATGTAATTAATGCTGAGCACCATAAGAAGAATGGAGATGGTGGGAGGGGGTGCAGGTTCTGCAAAGGGGGTGCAGAGCAGCGTGAAGGAGGCAGTAGCCAGAGGAGAATCGATGGGCAGAACTTGCAAGGAGTGAGGCTTGGCAGGTGTGAATTTAGGGGTCTCCAGTCTGCCTGATCTGCAGGAAGCTGGGTGATCAACTGAGTTTGTTAAAGCCTCAGCCTTCCTCAGACCATGGCAAGCCTGTTGGGGAAGGGCTGAGCCATTGTCCATCAGGCACTTCCTTGTTTCTCCAGTGTGCAGCATTTATGAACGTTGGGTCTGATGTGCCCTTATCTTCTCACCACCTTAAACTCTATAACCTGGCTGTTTGACTGCCATCTTCTCTCCGGTGTTCAGCAAACCTAAGCCTCCCTGTCCTGCCTTCTCACCAGCGCTGGTCTTTGCCTTCATCACAAGCCTTGTCTTTACAATACCTCAGATTAACAATAATGCAATGGAAACTTTCTTTTGCCAAACACCTATCCTCTCAAAAGGCACTACCATGCTTTGTACATGCATCATCTGATTGAACCCTCACTCAGTATGATTGTCAGTCTCCATGGTCACAGTGTCTAGAACTGGAATCACCTAGGAGATACACCTCTAGGTGTATCTTTAAAGAGGAGTTTCCAGAAAGATTTAGCTGAGGAAAGTGGACACAAACTAACTCCTCCCATGGACTGGAGATCTGGCCTAAATAAAAAGGGGGAAGAAAAAGGGAGCTGAGTACCAGTATTCATCTCTCACTGTTTCCTGACTGTGGACACAAAGTGACCTGATATTTCATGTGCCTGCTACTGTCCCTCCCTCACCACAAAGACGGATTCCTCTCAAACTGAGAGCCAAAATAAGCTCGCCCTTCCCTAAGTTGCTTTTGATGAATATTGTGTCACAGTAACAAGGAAATTGAGGAAGACAATCTATAAATAGGCAAATAATGTTGTCTCCCCATGAAACAACCTGAGTCTTAAATAATGTATTCACTGCCACCAGCAAGTGAGTGGCAGAGCAATCAGACTGAGGTAGACCATAGTATTTGTTTTATATGATGTGACTCTCCACAGTCTTGTTAGGGTCTTACATGAGTAACTTTGGACTTGGCCTTATTGCTTGCTGTGGTAGTTTGAATGCAATTGGCTCCCATAAGCTCATGGGAAGTGGTACTATTAGAAGGTTTGGCTTTGTTGGAGTAGGTATGGCATTGTTGGAGGAATTGTGTCACTGTGGGGGTGGGCTTTGAGGTCACATATATGCTCAAGCCACACCCAGTGTCTCAGGCCACTTCCTGTTGCCTATGGATCAAGATGTAGGACTCTCAGCTCCTTCTCCAGCACCATGTCTGCCTGCATGCCACCATGTTGCACCATGATGATAATGGACTAAACCTCTGAAAATGTAAGCCACCCCTGTGGGAGCCCGTTCTGGGGTTCCTCGTGGCTTTACCCAGCAGGTCCAAATAGAGGATGATCAGGACCACGGGCCTGAGTGCAGGTGTCTGAGATGGCCTGCACTTGGCTGTGCTGGGGGAGGAGGTCTTTTGCTCCACCCCTTGGCGTCT